ATACTCACACAGAATAACAGAGAATAAATCACAGAGCCTGGAAGTGTGAAGTGAAGCTGCCTTTATAAGACACAAAGTATTGGTCCATGTTTGGACAGCATATGGGTGCTGAAGCAGAGGGCTTCTCTTTAGGTTGAAGCCAAATGTTATTCAGGTTATGACCGCTAATTGTAACTGAAGTAATTGTGAAATGTAGAATGAATCCACATTTCCCTAAGTGTAAAACAGGTGTGATTTGGAGATACTTGAGATTATTTTAGGTGGAATGCCCACATGGCATTAAATAATATTGAATCACACAGTGAGAAAGTGATTCCCTTTTCCATTGTCCTTCAGTCTTTCTGACACCACCAAGGATTGGTGGATTGATATCTCTTTGATATTTCTCGAACACTTATTAAACTTCCTTTATAACAAAGAGAAGGCAGCCTCAGGCTCAGAACATTCAAAGACAATAGTCTCGAGCTAGAATAGAATTACATTTATGTTTTAATTGTATTTAGTTTTCTAGTTACCTCCTATTTAGAGCAAGGCGTGCTAATTTTCCATTTATAGTCACAATATAAGCCTTCTAAACAGATTTCTTTTAGTTGAAGAAGTGAGTCAACCTAAAAATATTGAGTAAATAATAGCACAGGTAGAACACAGAGAAGGCAAAAATCCTGAAGATGGTGAGTTACCATCTTCAGTTTAGAAGACACCAGGGCAGGCCATCAATTAGAGACACAGATACAGAATGCAAATGACTAAAAACTGAAGCAAAATCCAGAACCCGAAAACAATAGCTACAACTCTTTCAGAAACATTTCTGAAGGCACACAAGTGCGTGATGGACAAACCACTACTTCACTGAAGCCCTAGACTCTGGAAGGCGGGGGATGGAGGGGGTGGAGGCAGTGATTGTCACCATCATAAAACTAAAAGCAGGTGGGTTAAAAGGACAAGGCAAGGTAAGGCAGCACTTTCTTGAGGAAGAATCCACAGAAATCCAGAACAGCCGTCTAACCTCATCTACCTCCTCATTCAGAGAAGGGATGGTCTCTTATACACAGAAGTAGCAAATGGCAACTCTCTGAATGAGAGTGATGGGTCAATCTTGTTATCCTTGGTGTTAAGGTAATATGATCTATAATTATACATGAAAACTTAAATTTTATTCTTCTTGCTTCATTAATGTTCCCTTAAATCAGTACTTCCCAATTGGAAGGAGCAATTTTTTCAGACTACCTGTATATCAAAGATTCTAGAATGTTCCACCAGGGAGTAGGGATACCAGCTCTCCCTCACTTCTCACCTAGTTAGAACCACTGTTATAAAGAGAGTGTATCATGCCCATTTGGAGGGGGGGAAGTGGAAGAAAAGATTCCGAACCACTGTTTCAGTGGGAGCCATAAACAGTATAACTCCCACCCAGCCCATGTGACAGGTGTATGGGTGGTGAAGAAAGAGGCAATCTCTTTACCTTTCAGCACCATACTATGTGGATAGAAGGTAAGGGTTAGGGAAAATTGCACCATAGTAATTTGTAAAATGGCTAGGCAATGGTTAAACAGCATCTGTATTTGGAATAGGGGTTACCACTCAGAATAGGTTTTTAATGACAAGGATCTGGTTTGCTCCAGCAGGGAAGGCCTTGTACGATAGATGTAGTCTTTCTTTTCCTCCCTCTGTCCCAATCCTCCCTCCCAATTTCTTCTTTCCCTCCTTCTTTCTTTCCTTGTTTTATTTTCCTCTTACCCTCCCATTTTCCGAGTTACTGCATATTTCTAGGGACAATAGCCCCCAAGGTTATCTGTGGCCTATTGGACATCACTAGCTTTCAAACTTTTTTCTCCAAAGCCTCACGACCATACTGGGGAAGAGCTGGCAGGGTGAGACCCATTTTCCTCTGAAAGCAGGGGGCTCAGGGTGCAGCTCTGCAGTATTTCACATCCTGGCAGTACCGCTTACAAGTTGTGTGACATTGAGCAAATAGCTTCATTTCTGTTGTGCCTCAGTTTTCTCATCTATAAAATGAGAGTAATAAAATCGTCTACTAGATTTGGTTTTGTGAGGATTCAATGGGTGAGTTGGTATAAAGTACTGAGAACAGGAAAAAGCACAGTATGATTGTTAGCTTTACATATTTGACTTCTCTCATAAGCTTTCCTTTCACAGAAGAGTTCTACTGCCCCCAAAAGATTTGAAAATCATTCTGCTACTTTTGCCCAGGGCTGCGGTCATTGTTCAAATTAGCATGCTCTTTAACCTATACTTTTCATCAATTTTCTCTTCTCTATCTCAGGATAACTTCATTCTTCAGAACAGCTCCCCTCCTGCCCTCCCTCTCCCCACCTTCCCACTGTTTTCAAGGTCAGATTCTCCCCACTACTGTCTTTATCCAGTGATTCAGTGGATTTCCTCAGACTATTCTCATTGCATCACAGGCATCAGAAGGAACCTAATGGAACCCTCCTTTTACCCTGAAGGAAACTTGGGTCCTGCCACATAAATTATCTCACCTAATTTCACAGTTAGTGAGAGAGGGAGGAAGAGATGTGTATCCTGACTCTGATTTCATTGCTCTTTCTCTGACACTACCTGTCTCATCACTTGGTGGAACTATACACAGATTGATTCCAGCTTCCCTTCCACTGCCAGAGCCACATTTCTCTTCAATGACTCTTGAAGTTCTGCTCCCCTTAAAGAAGTCTCTGAAGTCATGATGTCTCTGACCTCCTTTCTCCCCACACACAGCAGACAATCTGAGACCAGCATATTTGTTCGTTCTTTCATTCACCTAACAAGCTTTTTTTTGAGCATCAGAGTAGTTCCAGAGTTGAATGACAGGGTCCCTGCATTAGAGAAGCTCACATCCTGCTTAGACAGGCACTCAAAGAAATATCCAGTTACGGAAAAGCTGTGTGTAAGGGCTAGGACAGGGTGAATGCACAGAATGTTGTGGAGAAGGTCGCTCACCCAGCCTAGGGGTCATGGACCAGGAAAGGCTTCCTGAAGGAGTTGACACCTAATCTGGACCTTGGAGTAGGCATCAGCCAGATGAAGAAAAGGGAAAAGTCGCTTTAGGCAGAGGGAAGAGAATGTGGAAGGGAAGGCCTAGGCAGTTAGTTGTGAGAGCAAAGAACTTTGGGGAAAGTGCCAGAAATTCTGTTCAGTAGGAGTGAAAAGTGTGACAGAGTAGGAGCCATGAGGTTTGAAAGACTGGGCTATGTCTTAAGGGATCTTGTAGGTTGTACAAAAGGGTTTTATCATGGGAGACATGGGGAGTCAATGCAGGGGTTTAATCAAGAGGATAAGAACGTATTTTATTCTGTAGTGGCAGCATGGAGATCTTCGTTACTGCACGCAGGCTTTCTCTAGTTGTGGCAAGCGGGGGCTGCTCTTCGTTCTGGTGTGCGGGCTTCTCACTGCGGTGGCTTCTCTTGTTGTGGAGCACGGGCTCTAAGTGTGCGGGCTTCAGTAGCTGTGGCTCGCAGGCTCTAGAGCGCAGGCTCAGTAGCTGTGGTGCACAGGCTTAGTTGCTCCACCGCATGTGGGATCTTCCCAGACCAGGGCTCGAACCTGCGCCCCCTGTATTGGCAGGTGGATTCCTAACCACTGCACCACCAGGGAAGCCCGAGAATGAATGTTATTCACTGGATGTTATTACACTAATTGACCCAGGTGAGATAAGAAACTGAGATATCGCAGAACAGAAATACACACCTGTGTCCAAAACGTTCATAACCCACTGTTGAATGTCCCTATGAGCTGAATTCTTGAGGAAATCTTAAATACAACTTCACCATTGCTTTCCACTTACCTACATTTTCTTTAATAACCTGAGCTTTTGTACCTTAACTGGGTTTAACCAGTTAAGTAAACAGTAAAACCAGATTGTCTTACTATTCTTTTCTACCGTTCTATTTCTAATCACCCAAGAAAGCCTTCTTCCCTTGTTTACAATTATCCTTTCAATCGTTGATTTCAACATCTGTTAAGGAACAGATGTACACAAAACTCATTTAACATCAAGTTTCTAATCTGGTAACATTTAACACGCAGATAAAAATGTACTTTATGAAATTTCATCTCTTTATACCTCTACCATGCCAAAGCCAAAGGAGATTTTTGGATGTACTACATCAGTGGGTATCTCACATTTGAGTAAATAACTCATACAAAGTGAATTCCAGACAAAGTATAAAGGATATTCAGTTGACCGTCCATCTGGGCAGGTTTCATATCTGCAGATTCAACCAACACTGGATTGAAAATATTTGGGGGAACAAAATTCCAGAAGGTTCCAAAAAGCATAACCTGGATTTGCCACACACTGGCAACTATTTACATAGCTTTTACATTGTATTAGGTATCATACGTAATTTAGAGATGATCTAAAGTATACAGGAGGATGTGCATAGGTGATATGCAAATGCTATACTTGAGCATCCTCTGATTTGAGTGTACACAGGGGTCCTGGAACCAATCCCCCATGTATACCGAGGGACGACTGTGTTTTTAAAAGAGCCCTGATTAAATTTTTGTCAACTGTTTGATGAACCAAGAGACCTGCTAAGATAATTTCCCATCTAGAAAGATTAAAAGTTGAAACCCCCCCTTTTTTTTTTTGCAATTTTCATCACCCAAAGTAAGATCAAAAGGATCCGTTTTTGAGTTGCTATTAATCTTATTTACATCTTAAGTAAAATTAAGATTCAGCCAGGGCTGGGAGTAGGCAAAGTGCAGAACAGCAGCTCTTTAGAAAGAACAACTCTCACTTTTCACCTTGCACTAAAATTTCGTTAACTTTTTTCGTTAACTTTTTCTGTGTTATGAGTAACTCGAGCGTCAGCAATCCCACGTTTGGTCGATGGAGTTTTTACTCACTGCGCGCGCACACACACACACACACACGCACGCACACACAACCCTCTCAAGCTCTTTTTGTGCACTTCCATCCACCTTTTCCAGCCGACTTTGGCTCCTGAGTCCTCCCCTCTCCTCTCCCAGGTACTCACAGGGTCTGCGTACTGGGCGGTAAGTTGGGGATGCGGTGGATATCCTTGCAGGTGACTCTGAAGTCGTCCTCCTGGTGGCATTTGCAGGGCGGAGAAGGACACCCTTTCCCCCTCAGGCTCCTGGGCAGGACAAGAAGCAGCGCCAGCTGCAGCAGGGGCGTCGGTTTCATTGTCCTCGGGGCTCCAAGGCTATGTCTTCATCCTCCACTATCGCCTCATTCTCAGCCCTCTGCGCCTCGGGTTCCCTCAGGCTGAAGGAGGGCGGGAGGGGTGGGAGGAAGGAGAAATCGATGGGGTCGTGACTTCAGCACCAAAGAGGAGGCTGGAGAGGGGAAAGAAGAGGCTCTCAAGTGCTCCGTTTCCCTAGGCAACCCTCCACCCAAACAAGCTTACGTACTTCACTTTCCTTGCCCCTTGCCACTCCCGTCTGTTGCCTGACAATCAGAGTCGGTCCGGGCTGTCCTCTCTGCCCTCCAACCTGCCTCACGCGCCCCTCCCATTACTTCCCTCCAAAGCCTAGTTTACACGCCCGCTCCTTTCCTTGGCTCTAAACCCAACGGGCCACCTCTTCCCATGGGTGGGTAGCCTCTCCAAAGCGCTCCCTGTCGGGATCCATCCGCACGCACCCTCTATCCAGAGAAAGTTGCAGCGGAAAGGACCGTCCCGAGACGGACGCCGGTGCCGCAGAACTTCAGCTCTTCCTGGCCTACGACGCCTCTGCCGAGGGTCGGAGGCGGGCACACGTGGCTTCCCAGCCCGAGGTGCGGCCGAGGCCGGGGCGCGACACCCACGGGGGGGATCCTCACGGCTCCCCAACTTCAGCGCAAACCCGGACCTCTGGGGGCGCGCAGCCACTAGCGCAGAAATCGCCGCGGGGAGCCGTCTGGCGGCGTTCGGTGGCGTCCGGCTCTCACTGCCGCGCGCGGACTCGGCGAGGCAGGCCAGGAACTGGGCTCTGGCGCCACCTGCCGGGAGAGCCTGGAACGGCAGAAACTGTTCGAGTGCCTTGAATGGAACTCTTGAATCGAGCTTTGCTCTATGTAGTTGAAGTTGACCTGTAAATTCTGGTCTGGCCAGGAATATTATCGAGCCATATATCCCCCCAGAAGATGGGAAGAAGAAGAATACTTAAGGGGCACACTATTGTCTACTCATCATCCTTCACACAGTAGCCAAGAAGATAATTTAAAATAAATATCAGATTGTGCCAATTTCGCTCTCAAAAACTTTCAATTGCTTACTAATTCTTCTTGGGTAAAAGGAGCATATGGCATCATATAGCATCTTCTTACATGCTATATGGTTCCATTTATATGAACTTCTGGGACGGCGGGAGGAAGTTATGGTGAAGGAAATCAGAATAATGGGTAGGGGAGATTGACTGGAAAAGGACAGCAGAGAACTCATGGCAGTTATATTGATAGAAATGTTCTACATCTTGATTAGACTGGACATAAGTGGATGTGTACATTTGCCAAAATCCATCAGACTGTGCACTTTAAATATGTGTATTTCAATTTTTTTAGTGGCTTTGTTCCTAATCCCCCCAAACTGGAAATCACCCAAATGTTCTTCCACTAAGTAATAGATAACAAAGAGTGATACATCCATACAATGGAATACTATTCCACAATAAAAAGAAGAAATAAAAAAAATTTAAAGAAAATTAAGTATAAATTCTTTATACTAACCAATGAAATCCTACTATGGGTGCCTGTAAACTTTTCCTGTGAAGAAATTTTCCTGTGAAGAACCTAGATGTTTTAGGCTTTGTGGGCCACATAGGATCTTTGTCACATCTTCTCCTCCTTCTTCTTTTTCATACAACCCTTTAAAAATGTAAAAGCCATTTTTAGCTTGTAGGCTGTACTGGAACAGGACTTGGGCAGGATTTGACCTAGAAGACAAGTTTGCTGATTCCTGTTTTTCAAGATCCGGCCCTTACCATCACTTTGCTGGACCTGGAAAGAGACAAGTTTATTATCACCTCTGGGCCTTTGCTATTGTTGAACTCTATGCCTGGAAAAATTTGTCCCCAGATCGTCACATCATTCAAGTTGTTGTTGAAATGGCGTAAGTTTTTCTGGAAAAACCTTTCTCAAGTAACGATCCCCCCATCATATTACCTCACCAAAGCACTTATCTCTTGTTATTATTATTAATTAGTTTACTCATTTATTGCCTGTCTCTTGCTGCTCTCCCATCCCCATCAAAATATAAGCTCCATGAAAGCAGGAACCTTGCTTTTTTTTTTTTTTTGCCACTGTATCCCTAACACCAAGAACAGTGCCTAGCTCAGAGTTAGGAAATAATAAATGTTAAATGAACGAATAGGCAATGGCTATATTAGCTATCTGTTGCAGCATAATCAATAACCCCAAAATGTTAAATATTGGCTTAAAACAACATTTACTATCTCAGAGTTTCTGTGGTGCAATTTGGGAGAGGTCTAACTGGATGCTCTGGCTTAAGGTCTATCATGAGGTTGCAAACAAAATGACGGCTAGGGCTGCAGTTATCTGATAGCTTGGCTGCAATATCACGAAATTCACTTATTAGTTCTAGAAGCTGTTTCATAGATTCCATCCAATTATCCACATAGATGAGTTGTATTGTCTGAGTATAGATCGTTTACTTCTCTTCCAATCTGAATGCTTCTCATTTCTTTTTCCTATTGGACTGCACAGGCTAGAAACTCCAGTACAATTTTGAGTAGAAAGATTAAGGGCAGTTATCATCTTGTTTCTAATCATATGGGGGAAATCATTCTTTCATCATGAAATATGATGTTAAGTATACAGTTTCCATAAATGCTTTTCATCAGGTTGAGAAATTTTCCTTCTATTCTCCTTCTCTTAGAGTTTTTAATCAGGAATAGGTATTAGAGTTTTCCAAATGCTTTTTGTGCATCTGTTAAGATGAGTCAGCATTTTTCTTTTTTAGTCTGTTAATGTGGTGAATAAAAGTGATGGATTTTTGAATGTTAAACCCATTTTGCATTCCAGGGATAAACCCCACTTGATCATGACATATTAAGTTTTTAATTTATTTTATGATTAAATTTTCTAAAATTTGGTTATGGGTTTTGCATAGATGTTAACTGTCATTTTCTTTTTTTGTAATGTTTTTGTTAAGTTTTTGTATAAGGCTAATTCTGCCATCATAGAATAAGTTAGAAAATATTCCCTCCTCTTCAAATTTGTGTAAGTTTGTGTAGAATCGATATTATTTCTTTCTTAGTTATGTGGTAGAATTCACCAGTGAAGCTATCCGGACATTTTTACTTGCTGGAAGGTTTTTAACTTCAAATTAAATTTCTAAAAATAGATGGTAGGGCTATTCAGTGTATCTAATTCTTCCTGAGACAGCTTTAACAGTTTGTGTTTTACTATGAATTTTTCCATTTTATTTAAATTTTTGAACTTATTGTCATAAATGTGCACATAATATTCCCTTATCCTCTTCATATTTGTATAATCTGTTCTAATGTCAGCACTCTCATACCTGATACTGGTATTTGTGTCTTCATTCTTCCTTTCCTGATAAGTATGTCTAGAGGTTTATCAATTTTATAAATATTCTGAAAGAAGCAACTTTTTGTTTCATAGATTCTCTATCGTTTTTCTATTTCATTGATACCTGCTCAGATCTTTATTATCTCCTTTCTTTTGCATCTGTTGGGTTTAATTTGCCCTTCTTAGTTTCTTATGGTGAAGGCTGAGGTCATTGATTTGAGACTTTTTTAAAAGATAATATTGTATAGTGCTGTAGATTTTCCCTCTAAGTACTGCTTTAGAGACATCTCTTAGGTTTTGATATTTATTATCATTCAGCTGAAAATACTTTCTAATTTTCTTCTTTGATTTCTGGGTCATTTAGTAGTGTGTTATTTAGTTTCCAAATATTTGGGGATTTTTCACATATTGCTCTGTTATTAATTTCTAACTTTATTCCACTGTAGAGAGAGAACATAGTTTGTATGACTTGAGAACTTTTAAATTTAGTGAGACTCACTGTAGAGAGAGAACATAGTTTGTATGACTTGAGAACTTTTAAATTTAGTGAGACTCAGAATAAGGTCTATTTTGACAAATGTTCAGTGTGTTTTTGAAAAAAATGTGCATTCTGAATGTGTTCTACAAATGACAACAGATCAAGTTGTTGATAGTGTTGTTCAAGTCATCTATATTTTTGCTGATTTTTCTATCTACTTGTTATGTCAATTATTGAGACATGGGTCCTAAAATATTTTTTACTATAATTGGGGATTTGTCTTTTTTTCCATTGTATTTCTATCAGTTTTTGATTCATATGTTTTGAAGTTCTATTAAATATACAACTATTTAGAACTCTTCTATTTTCTTGGTGAATTGATGCCTTTATCATTATTAAATGTACTTTTTTATCTCTTGTGATGTCCTTTTCTTTTTAATTGACTTTTTTATGTTATAGAGACAATCCAACTTTCTTTTGATTAGTGTTACCATGCTAGTCTTTTTCTATACTTTTACTTCAACCTCTTTGCATCCTTATATTTGAAGTGCCATTTCTTATAAATAGCAGATTGAAAGCAGGTTTTGCTTTCAATCTTTGCTTTTTATTTGGATTGTGTAGATCATTTACATTTGATGCCATTATTATTACTTTTTTTTAAATTTTTTTTTTTTTATTTTTTCTGGTACGCGGGCCTCTCACTGTTGTGGCCTCTCCCATTGTGGAGCACAGGCTCCGGACACGCAGGCCCAGCGGCCATGGCTCACGGGCCCAGCCGCTCCACGGCATGTGGGATCCTCCCGGACCGGGGCACGAACCCGTGTCCCCTGCCTCGGCAGGCGGACCCTCAATCACTGCACCACCAGGGAAGCCCAAGATGCCATTATTGATATTAGGTTTCAGTCTGTAATCTTGCTCCTGGTTTTCTATTCATCCCATCTATTCTTTGATCCCTTTTCCTTTTCTTTTTTTAACCTGTTTGGATTAATTCAGGAGTTTTTATGATTCCATTTCATCTTCTTTGTTGACTCTTAGCTATAACTGTTTGGTTATTATAGTGCCTGCTTTAGGGTTTATAGTGGATGTCTTTAAGTTATCAGAGTCTACCTGCAGCTGCTATTACACTGCTTTATGTATGGTTTAAGAACCCTATAACGGTGTTACTTCCATTTCTCCTTTCCTGGCCTTTATGCTTCTGTTGCCATACATTTTACCTATGCATAAGCTATAAACGCTACAATACGTTCTTATTATCTTTGTTAAGATAACCAGTTATCTTTCAAAGAAATTTAAGTCATAAGAAAAGACTCATTTAGTTATCCTTTTTGGTCTTCGTTCCTGAGTGTACGTAGAGCCGTATTTTCTCCTGTCACCCGGCTTTTGCTTGAAAGACTTTAACGTTTCTTGTAGTACAGATCTTCTGGTTATAAATTATGCCAGGTTTTGTGTGTCTGAAAAGTGCTAGTTTTGCCTTTATTTTTAAAGGGTATCATTGCTTAGTACAGAGTCATAGACTGACAGTTTTTTCTTTTCAGTACTTACAAAATATGGCTTCATTGTCTTGTTGCTTGCATCGTTTCCAAGGGCAAATCTTCTGTCATTTTTCTTTGTTCTTTTGCAGCATGTTTTTTTCTCCCATAGGACGCTTTTAAGACTTTTGTTATCACTGGTCAAGAGTCATTTTATCATGTGCCTTGATGTATTTTTCTTCATCTTTCTCATGCAGTATTTTGAGGGTCTTGGATTTATGCATTTATGGTTTTCAAATTTTATAATTTGAAAAAATTTCAGGCTTTATTTCTTCATGTATGAATACTTTCTCTATCCCCTTATCTCTCTTTACTCCTTTGGAGATTCCAG